GTCCCCGTGAGGCCCTGGGCCCGGACCAGGCGGGCTCGGTGTGGCATTCGCTGGAGCAACATTTGGAGAGCCAGCGCCTTCCTGTCTCGGGGCTGGTGGACAGGGCGCTGCTTGTGTGCTTCCCGCTCACTGGTAACCTGCCAGCACCTTGCAGGATATTATGAAACTTAAACCAAACGAGGTTAAAATGGAGCCTCTGTGCCATGAACAGATGCGGACTGAGTGCAGAAGTCCGCCGTGGTCTTGGCAGAGGCCGTGGGATCGCGGGCAGGCCCCCGCTCTGTCAGGGGAGGCCTCTGCGCTCGGCGTCCGCGTTCAGGGCGGCTTTCCACCACACTGGCCACTCGGCCCAGATTCCTCCTGAAGACTCCTCGGGCATGGCTCCCGCCCCGCCCCGGGCCTGCGGGGCCTGAGGGTTAGCTGTGGCTGTCTCCTGATGACCCTTGTGAAGGGAAGCTCTCTCTGCTAAGTAGTTGTGTCCACGGGGAGTGAGGCCGGGGCGAGAGCAGCGTGGGTGTGTCCCTCGGGGGTCCCGGCCGGCTGGCACAGTGAGGGAATGGTGGCCTTTCCGCGGAGGCTGCCGAAGGTGCTGCCGCTGGTCTTTGGCCATCCAGCCGTGCCAGCGAGAGCAGGACAGGGTGGGGGGCACAGGGCAGACGTGTGTAACTTGGGGGGATCTGGAGGCGGCACAAGTAAGTCACCGTCCATCAGAGTCGCCTTCCAGCTCTGCCTCAGTGGACTCCCCAGCCCAGACCGGTTCCCGCAACGCGGGACCCGTCACTTCGGTGGCATTGCTGCGTGTCACACCGTAGGTCGAAATGCTAACGTGTTGTGGAATGTTCTGCCAGGTTCCGTGTGGTGAAATGACATGTTCTCTGAAGAGGTCAGGGGACTTTTTTGAGCCTTGGAAACAAGGAAGGCAAGCATTTGCCCCCGGGGCTCGGAGGGACCGAGCTGGTTCCTGGTGCCTGATCCTCCGGACCTGTGGGCTCTGCCCTGGAGGGCTCGCACCAGGAGGCGGCACTGAGGTTGGGGTCCCCGGCAGGTGCCCTTCCTTCCCCGCATTGACTCTGTGTCTGTCTGTCCTTGTCCTGGGTGGTGGGGCGGCGGGGTCCCCGAGATTGGCCTTGAGCGATGGGAGAGGCAGCAGGGCTGAGCTCGGACACGGGGTGGGTTTTCTGAGAGGGGGAGGGCACGTTGGCTCGGTACATCTTACACTCCGGAAAATGAGGTGTAGCATGACGAGGATTCTGCTTGCCTTTGCTGATTTTCAAAGCCAAGGCTCTTGCACACTTCGCTCTGTGTCCAGAAAAGCAGTTCTGCCGGGCTGGGCTGTTCCTTTGAGGATATTAACTGCCTTTCGCAAGGCCGGGCCCGGGGACGGGGCCCCTGGGTGGTGGCTCTCACGGACCATCTGCTCACCCCGCCTTGTGGGCCCGCCCCCCTGGGGCCCCTCAGATAAGAGCCGGACAGCCTGGAGCCCTGGTGGCTTTTGGAAGACTTGACCCTGACGTTGGGAGTTAGAGTTTCAGGAACACGCCCGAGGCTCTCCCTCCCTCCCGCCCGCTGCGGGAGCTGCCTGCAGAGCAGATAGATTCAAACCATACGGGTGTGCGTGGAGCACAGATTACATTTCCACACAGCTTGCAAATATTTTCTTCCAGAGGTTTGCTGCTTGCCAAAAATTTAAATTTTAATGTTACAGCTTAGTTTTCATTTTGATCTAATACGCTGGTCTCATTTCTTGCTGCCTGTTTTTTTCCGCCTTGTCTCTCCCTGAGCAAGCCCGGACGGCGTGGGCGAGGGCAGACTTCTCTCTGTGCCTGGCTGCCATGGGAGCCGCACGGTGGGCGATGTTCTGTCCCCTTCAGGCCGAGGAGTGCTGCCTAGCACACAGGTTTTTGGACCGAAGTTTATTGTTCCTTAAAGATACTATTAAACTTTACTTAGTGTGTGTGACGCTTTTATGGCTTCTGAGGCCGTTTTCTGATTCTCTGACACATGCTCACCTCCAGGGAGAGAGCGGGGACGCCCTGGCCCTTGGATCTGGCACCGCGTCTGGGACCATCCGGTTCCAAACACGTAATTTTCTTTTTCTTTTTTTGTTTTGTTCCACTTTTCTCCTTTCCCCCCATTTTTTTTAAATTAAGGTATTATACGTGCACACATCTCACCATTGGCCCCCTCCGCTCCCAGAGACATGCCGTTTTCTTAAACAGTGCTATCAGATATTTATACAACTTCCAAGCTTATTATGAAATAGTCTTTACAAGTGTTTATTAGCAGCAGGAGCAGATCTAGATAACGGTTTGATCTAGCTGGGGTGCATACCAGAACACACGGCCGTTTCTGGAGAGTGTTTGCTAAGTTTGCAGATAGATGATTTCAACTTGAGGATTATCCCCGCGTTCTTTACGATGGGAGGTGCGAGGCGTGTTTTTTTGTCTTAAAGCGGACACGAGCCCGTTGGACGCAGGGTGCTGGGGCGCTGAAGGGAGCCAGCGGAGAGCGTGCCCCGGCCCTCCCCTCCGTCAGTGCCCAGGACCGTGCCCGCGGGCTGCAGGCTGGGTGCCTGAGTGCCATCGGAGGGGCTGCCCCTTGTGAAGTGGCTCAGCCCGCCCCCTGGGAAAAGCTGGCTCTCGGCTCCTTCCCCAGGACCCCCTTCCTGCCCCCGCACCTCTTACCTTTTGGGTAAACCTTGACAGCAAACACGAAACGCACACACAGCAGACATGGCACGGAGCACCGTTCTTTCCAGGGACGCGGGTTTCCAGGGGGCGGGACCACGTCCCCCACTCGCTCTTTCTCCTCCTTCCCGCTCCCCAGGCACCCACTCTCCACGGCTCGCGGATCTAAGTGCCATCCCCGCCAGAGCCGCAGTGGGCCTGCTGTCACCCCGCCGCGGAGGGTGGGAGGTGGGAGGTGGGTCTGCTTGGTCTGTTCCTGCCCAGGCCGCTCGGAAACGCTGCCTCCCCGCCCGCTCCCACACTCCCCGGCCGGCCGCTCCCGTGTGAACGGACTGACGGACGCTCTGCAGACCAACGCCGGCCGCCGGCTGCGAGGAAAGACCCCCGGGGTCTCCTCTTTGCAGGGCCTTCCCTTGCTCCGAGTACAAAGTCAAAATGGCTTCCTTTAAAAAGACACGAAACACAAAACACTGACAGAGCTGCTTCCCGGAACCTGCGGGCCCATCTCCGTGGCCGCACCACCTGCCCTCGCCCGCCTTCTCTGGCCACAGGTTCCCTCCTCCTGCATCGCCTCTTGGTCTCACGGCTGGAGGCCTCCCCGCCATCTCAGTCCCACGGCTCAGCCGCTGCTCCCGCTGTTGGCCTCGGCAAGCGGCCTCCGGAGGAGCCCCCTCTGCATGCCCCTCCTGCCCAGGGCGGTGGTAGAACCGCTGGCAGAGCTTCCTGCGTGTGTGTCGTCTTGTTTGTTTTCTCTCAACTGGAATGGACCCCGGGGGGCCGGGGCGTCTCGGCCTGACTCGGTCACCGCTGTCCTCGGCCCTCTGCAGCCGAGGCATGTGAGGAGGGGAATGAAGGTCAGAGGGGACAGGCCCTGGCTGATGACCCTGCCTCCGGGTGGCACGGCTGGGGCAGAAGGGGCTCCGTGGCTCCTGCTTCCCAGCTGCCGCCACCCCGTCACCCGGGGCCCCGGGGCCGGCATGGACAAGCACGCCAGCCTGTTTGTGGGACTTGGACCAGTGCAGGGGCCTCCGAACAAACTGGGGAGGGAGAGGCCGTCCACCCCTGTCTGAGCTCCTGTGTGCTTCCCTCCCCCAGCCCGGGCTTCGTGGCGGGGTGTGACCCAGCCCCACACCAGCAGGAGAACGCTGGGCTCCTTGCTGCCACCAGTCCACAGTGGGGTTCCTCCGTCCCTGGATGGGGGACTCTTCTCTCCTGGAGGGGGCGTGGCCTCGTGTGCTCTGCCAGCCCTGGCCCCACCGTGTGGGGGAGGGCATCTGGGGAGGGGCCGTGCCCTCTCCGAGGGAGTGCCTGCCACCCTGGGGTGCAAACACAACACTGGTGATCTGACCGGCGAGCCGGGTCCCGGTGCTCTCTCCCTCACCGGTTCTGGTCACAGACACCGCATTCTGCCAGGACGTTCAGCCACAGCCTCCCTTTCTGCCTCTGCCCGAGGAAATGAGCCCGGCTCCCACACACAACTTTCTCTCTGTCCCACCGGAGAATTGAGGCTCATTGTTTTGACAAGACTGACAAGCCATTCTTTTGTCCCAAGCATGCAGATTCATTCATTAACAACTCATTAACTCAAGAGCTGCTTGGTCAGAGGTTTGAACATACAATGAGGTGTATATGTTTTTTTTTTTTTTTTTTTTTAAATTCTCAAGGATATGTTTTTTAAATTTATTTTGAGAGAGAGAGAGAGAGAGAGAGAGAGAGAGAGAGAGAGAGACAGAGGTGTTGAACTTACAGCCTAGGTGTGTGCCCTGACTGGGACTCAAACCTGCAGTCTTTTGGTGTCAGCGCGAGGGAAACGCTGTCGCCCGATTCCGAGTCTTGATAGCCGGCTCATTACCCGACTTCATCTTGTCAGTTCCGATCTGCGCTGTCGCTGTAAAAGTAAAACCAGAAGTAGAACCGGCTTTCATGCCACAACCAGTTTTTAAGTACAATAAACAGAGTTGCAAACACGTGTTGGCTTTCCAGCATTCCAGCGTGATTTGAACGGTTCCTGTCTTATACTGACACTATTCTTGAGCAATTACTTATCTGGGCTGATACTCTGAAGTGGATGGTAGAATTTTAAGAATTTTGATGACCGATGGGTCTTGAGGTGGCTTCTGGGCGGGTGGGAGCCGAGCAAGGTGGTGGTTAGTGGTTTCTGCCCTGGCTTCGGGTCAACTATGATGCAGCCGCCATGGGGATCTGGCTGATGGGAGCTCTGTGGTCCTAAAGCACGGGAGGCTTGGATGTAAACTACGGAGAAGGTGAACGGTGGGCAGGTCACTGATGACGACAACTTGATTTTCTTTTCAGCTACACTTGGGAAGCTGTTGACACCAAAAACCAGATGCTCTACAAGATCAGCGTCTGCGGGAACGTGGCCATTCCCGCGTGCGGGGCGTCGAGCGCCGTCTGCATGCAGAACCTGAAGACGGGCCGCTACCGCTCCGTGGGTGAGTACCCGGCCTGGCGGCCCTGGCCACCATCCCGGCGTCGCAGGGACAACTCCGTGGCTGTGTAACTGCCACACAGTTACGTGTGCCTTGACGTAATGGACAGTGTATGTTCGATCATAGCTAAAGGGGGTAACAGTGTAAATGTCCACTGAGATGAACTTAGGTGTCTTCCATTTAGTGCAGCGATTTTCAACCGGTGAGACCCGCAAGAATGTGGGAAACGTGCAGCGCCTGGCTCTTTCTCAGGGGCACTGACCTTTTTCCTTAGGCTGGCACACAAAACACGGCAATGGCCAACACAGCCACAGCTTCCCGGGGGGACCGAATTAAAATTATCTCTCTCTTTTTTTAAATTTTTGGTCAGATTGTATTTTTTGGTGTGCTGCAGAACTTTAGTAATTCGTGTATGTGTGCCATGAGATGAGAAAGGTTGAAAATCGCCGATCTGGTGGAATTAATAGTCGCGCAGAATTATGCACATTTGTACCTAATTGGCCATTAAGTACAAATGGTTAACTCGTGGTCGGCAAACTCGTTAGCCAACAGAGCCAAATATCAACAGTGAAACGATTGGAATTTCTTTGGAGAGCTGGATTTTTTAAACTCAAACGTCTTCTATGTCACGTCTTGGTGTTTTATGGAAGAGCCACACTCGAGGGGCCAAAGAGCCACCTGTGGCTCGCGAGCCGCGGTTTGCCGACCACCGTCCTAGAAGGTATTTCCAAGTGGTTCTGTCTTCTCACGTTTTTCTCAGACTCCCCACCCCCATCTCCTCTAGTGTTGGGCCTTTCCCCGTGCAATGCCTGCTTCCTTCTGAGGGTCCTTGATGCTTGGGCAGAATGCGTTCACTCGGGTCAGCGATGATCATGGGTTCTAGGCTCACATTCCCGATTAAGTACTCCCCAGGGGCCGGCACTCCCAGATTAAACGCGCAAACCTTTCTCCTGGGGCCCCTTTCCCTTTCCCTGGGGGAGGAGGGAAAGGGCAGATGACTAAATGAAGGGGCTCAGGTGCCAGGGTCCTTGGATTTGGCGGGTTGGGGGTGCGGTCTCCCGGGGAGGACCCCCTGAGGCGGTGCTGTGTGTGTGGGTGAGGTGGGCGGTGTGGAGCCGGAGGGGCAGCGTGCTGCCATAGCCCTGCCTGGATGGAAACGTTTCGGGTAAGAAGAAGGTGTCCGAGGTTGGCTGGTGGAGGCCGGCTCCTGCTGGTGTCCCTGTCTCCCGCGGAGGAGACAGACTGAAAACGCACGAGAGGGTCTGCGGCCCCGAGAAAGACAGGAGCGCCAGGTGGTCTGACTCTGGGTGAGACAGGCTTTTTGTGTGCGATACACTTAAAACACGGCAGTGAGATGGCCACTTTCCCGACGGGCACCTTCTGATGATTCATGGAGAGAGGCCATGAGTTACTCAGGTTTTCAGAAAGGGACTTGACTGCGATGCGTGACTGCATGTTTTTGGCTAGTGAAAGCTGTCCTATCGGTGGTGGTGGTCGTTATAGCATAAGGTGAGCCCCGAGGCAGAAAAACCATGGGAGGAGGGCTGTGAGATTGGCAAGGTTGGACAAAATTTGAGAATGACCAAGTTCCGTAAGCTTTGGCCCTGGCTGGTGGACGCAGGGGTTAGAGCTTCAGCCTGCCTTCTGGAGGGTCGCAGGTTCGATTCCGGTCAAGGGCATGCATGTGGGGCAGGTTCCCGGCCAGTGGGGGTGTCTGTGGGAGGCAACCGGTTGAGGTGGCTCTCTTACCTCAATATTTCTCTTTCTCTCTTTCTCTCTCTCACTCTTTCCCCAACTTCCACTCTCTTTAAAGTCAACGGAAAAAATATCCTTTGGTGAGGATTAACAAACAAACAAACAAACAAACAAAAAAAAGAAAGAAAGAAAGAAAGAAAGAAAGAAAGAAAGAAAGAAAGAAAAAATTTTCTTAAAGAAAGAAAGGAAGGAAGAAAGGAAGGAAGAAAGATAAAAGTTCCATAGGCTTTGGAAGCCAGGCAGGAGCGTGGTGACCTGGGTGGGTGGTGGGTTGGTGATGGCCATGGGGGAGGCGATCTGATAAGACGTGTGTTCCGAAAGCCGGCCGGGGAACTCGGTGGAAGGAGAGGCCGATGGTAACTAGATGAGTTAACAGCTAAGTTCCAGGTTGACGATGATATAAACCAGCCGTTTCCAATCTCGTTTTGCTCTCCCAGACACATTCCACATGCTCTCCCAGCTCCGAACCCAGCTCCCGCAGTGGAGGAGTTGGCTGGGTGCTGTGAACTTTCAGCCCTCACTGCCTGTCCTTCAGCGCCAGGAGGCAAACGGGGGCGGGGGGAACGGATGAAGGTGAGAGGAACGCGGAGAGGTAATTCTCAATTAGATCTGATTTGTGTCTTACGGTGGCTGTAACGAAATTTGCCTTTGTAACTTGTTTTACAACTAAGTTCCTTGTATACCTGTGTGTGAGGTACTATGCTTTTAAGTAACATAATCTCGGTTCATTCAGCAGCTTTTTTGAAGTAGGTGATTTCATTTCCCTCGTTTTACAAATGAGGACACCAAAGCCCAAAATAGATAAGCTGCTGGCCAGAGGCTGGTTGCCAGAGGCTGATGGTTGCGAATGTGCCGCTGACAGGCCGGCCGGAGCCTGTACTTATTTGGGGCTGTGCAGTTTGGAGAGTCAGACGGTTGTGGAGCTAAAATGGGAACCGCGACGGGAAATCTGACCTCCTGAAAACCGACTTCTTACGAGCTTGCTAAAAAGGGGGGAGGGGGCGGGAGTGAATTTTGAGAGCAGGCACAGGAACTGGAGTCTCCAGTAAATCAGAGGAACGGGAGAATCAGGATGGCGATAGATCCAAACGTATATGAGAACTTCATGTCTAGCCAGCATTTTAGGTGTAGTTGAGGCATTTATCTCTTCGCACACAGGGCCAGACCCCTCCTTCATGGGTGTAACAGGAGTGACCGCTCAGTGAACATTAAAAGGACGGTGGAATGTTAGGGGAATCGAAATAGAATCCAGAGGAGGCAAGATCTCCTCTTAATAAATAAGAAGAGCCACCTGGGAGAGAAGCGGCAGCGTCTAAGGGCTGGCAGCTCCCGGGGAGGAAATCCCGATGGTCGGGGCCACTTCATTAGTGATCAGGTGTAAGTGCAAAGCGAAGCAAGAAAGACACCGCGCCTTTCTCCCCCCGCATTGGCAGACGCTCCCAGGGTTGCATCCGACAGCGCTGGCAGGGAGCCTGGATGCGGGCACGTTTGGGTAGTGCTGTGGGATGGTTGTCTGCAGCCCTTTCGGGGAGATCACTGCTGATGCAAGTTTTATGATGCCCCCCGGGTTGTCTGTATGCTTAGAGAGGAACAGTAAGGCGTCTGCTTCTGGTTAAATAATAGTACATTATTTTTGATTAAGAAGTCAAACCTTAGTTCTTCCCTAAGCCAACGATACGGTTGAGTATGCAAACCTAGCAGAGGGGAGCAGCTAGGTTTTATGGGGCCTGCGAACAGCATTTGGCTCCATTTTCACCGCATTTTAAAGCGACTTCTACATCTTATATATTTGATTTCCTCTGAAAATGTGATCTGCCGATGAGGCCTGAAGCACTAGATAATTCTTTTAAAAATGTAACACTTTTTAAACTTATAAATAGGATGGGCCTAAAATTCTTCGTCGAATGCAGTTAGTCTAAATCATTGGCTCGTCATGACCTTTGGAGGCATGACATTACACCTGGCAAATATGGAAAAACACAAAAGGTGTCTCACCTCCCTCCTAACATCCTAAGTATGAATACCGTGGTTTTAATGGAACTCCTGAGCGTGAGAAGCTATATATCCACGACTGAGAGCCGTGACCAGCCCGTTTAACAGGTCACCCACCCACCAGGGGGGAGGTAGTTGAGGTTATTCACCATCGGAGCCTGGGGCTCTGGCTGCCGTCTTCTGGGGACCTGGGCAGGACCCTGGAGTCCACCTGGTCGAGGCGCTGTGTTGTGGCTTCATCACTCAGGAGCCTGGCCTTGGCTTCGGGCGGCACGTGTGTGTGTGTGTGTGTGTGTGTGTGTGTGTGTGTGTGTGGCCCGGCGTCAGCCTCGGGAACCTCCCACCACCCCATGCAGCCCGGCCCCTGGGTTGGATTTTGTATCTCTGATGATTAAGTTGTGAAAACATTATTTTCCTTTTAAGCCCTATATATACACATGTGTATGTATGTATATACATATATATTTGGTAAAACCATGTCATTCTATGGGATATTTAAGATATCTTGTGTTTTTTATTTTTATTTTTTTTTTCATTTTTTATTAAGATATGTGTGCATATCTTACCAATTTCTCCCCCTCCCCCATTGAGTTTTTAGATATAACTCATGTTTTTATCCCATTTATGGTCTCTCCTGGTAGTCTAGCAGGATTTTTAAAATTTTATAAAAATCTTAATTGTTCAGATTATTACAAATGTTTCCCCCCCCCCATTGCTTCCCTCCACCAGGTTCCTACCCCACCCTCTGCCCTTTCCCCACCCCCCATTGTCCTCTTCCATAGGTGCACAGTTTTTGTTCAGACTGAACAAATTCTGCTAAATTTTAAAACATATTCCTCTAACCTACTTTTGCAAATCTTACCAATAGAGGAATTAGTACTGTACTGATATTTATATATATATATATTTTAAAAATATACTTTTGATTTTATTTTTTTAATCTTTTTCACTTTTTTATGTACAGAGATGTTTGTATGGATTTTTTTTTTTGTAGTGCTGTGATAAATAGTATGCTGGGACAGCCTCACTGTGTGGGGCAGTTGAATAAATTGTGTGTTTTATTCTGATTTCCTTGGTTAATTCCCAGATATGTGAATAAAATATTTACAAACAACTGGCATTTAATACTCATTTATTTGAAACACACACTTGAAATCAGTCACTGAAACAGACACGAGCTCCTTTTTTTTTTTCCACGGAGCTTACACACACACACAAAACCACAATGGCAAAGGACACTGGAATGTGAGGATGCT